TAATATAGATTAAATAATAATAATTATTATTTAATACAAAAATTAATCAGAAGTAATTATTATTATTATTATTATTATTTAAAATCTTTTTTTGTCATGTAGTTAATAGCGGCTAATTTGCTTCTGCTGACTTACGATTTCCTCGTCACTAGATGTCAAAACATTCCCAAAGTACTTTGGCAACAAAAAGGCTCTGTCAAGACTTTTTAAACCTTTCGGCTGATCCTTTACCATATATTTCAGCTCAGCCTCTCTCTTACAATTTGTTTGAATGGCATTACGTTTTTAAAGGTCCAGACAATTCCTCTTTTTCTGGTGGATATTACCATGGAAAGCTTAAGTTTCCTAAGGAATACCCTTTCAGGCCGCCTTCCATTTATATGATTACTCCCAACGGTCGATTTTCCTGTAATACCAAGTACACTTGTATTGTTAGGCTTATAACATAGATTGTGCCTTTCGATCAGCGACTTTCATCCAAACACATGGAATCCGACTTGGTCGGTTTCCTCAATTCTGAATGGACTTCTAAGCTTCATGCTCGAAAATACCCCTGCTGTGGGCACAACGCATACTTCTGCAGAAGAAAAGACAATGCTGGCTAGAGATAGTCTCAAGTTTAATTTAGAATGTGCGACGTTTTGTGAACTTTTTCCCGAAATTGTGACGGTAATTGCTCCTCTATACTGCCTTTTGATAACATTTCGCTCGTTAAATTCTAATTTTTATTTCACTGTATATTTTGTAACTATCTATTTTTACTGTCCATTATCGTTATATTGCTACTTATTGAAATGATATTTTAATCGTTACACAAATACTACAAATTTTTAATTCATATGTTCCTTATCCATTTTATTAATATTACTATTTTTATCCACTTACCTAGCCCAGCACTTTTAAACTGTAGGCTAATTTCCCCCATTATTTTTGGTGTCGGAGATATTATCTATTTAAAATAGAGCTATATTCGTGATTCTATTCAAAACTTTTGCTGAATACTATCCCAAGAAGCTTACTCGTTCCAAGTTTTTTTATAATCTGGAGTTTGTTTTTTCCTACTCAATAGTCTTAATATATTCACCTAATCACGATGAATCCTTGTCCGGTACACCATTTGGTTGCCGCTGTATGATCAAAATAGTTGGTTTATGTCTTTATTTTGTCTAGGAAACAGAATAGATTTTGTGTAACGGTTCTGTTCTTGGAGACACCAGACGCTTAGCGTGGAAATAACACCTCGAGTAGCACAGATGAGGTGAGAGATAGAAGACGGATCCTGCGGGGCAAGAGGGAGACTAATAAGACCTATATAAGGAGTACTGCGTAATAATAGGGCAGACTCTGATCAGCATTCCAAATACAAGGGTGAAGGTTGGCAAGAAAATCAGCGTGGAGTGTGGAGAGTTCTCATGAAATCCGCTCAAAAGGGCACACTATATCGTATTTAAATAAGCAAGTAAAAATTGCCATAGTAAAGACGTGATTGGAAGATATAGGTTTGGCGATTAGCCCAGGGGGAAGATATCACGATTGTTTAGCAGACAATTTGCCAATGGATCGATTTCACTTGTCTGATGAGTTGTTATGTATTGCTAAGAATGGCAAGACTCACTAACGAGGCCGACTACCATGCCGGCGAATCGTCTGGGAACGTACCATGTCCATGGTCCAACTCTGGAAATTATCATGCTTACAAAGGACTCCGGACTAGATGCATTCCTCTAAGTCTTCCTACCATAGGTACAGGAGGTTTTCTGATCACTCTAAATTATATCATACATTGATAAGCAAATGTATAGAGAACTATCAGTCATGTTTCTTATGTTTCTGAATGGTTTTGCCATTTCACAGATATTTCGCATCATTCAACTAAAATGGTCGATGTAAACTAAGTTGAAGCCTAATGAGTTCCTCTTCAATATACTGTCATCTCAATCGCATGAATCTTATGTATGCAAAATGAAGGTTCCATTAGTCTTTGCATCATCTCTATTATATGAAGAGGCTAGATATTTCCTCGTTTTCTAATACTCTAACAAGTTCTCTATACTGATTTCATATTCTCGTTTTTGATCACTGCAGTCATCACTGTCAATTTTTACAACATTCTCCAGCTCGATTAGTGACCTTTCTTACTGCGCCCAGCAAGCAATATGATCTAACTTGATAAATAGATTTCATGAGATCACATGGAGACATAGTTTATTCTTGAATATATTTAAGACGCACTTTCTTTTTGCAGGAGAGAAGCCGATCTTGCCGCTGGCTTAGTTCTTTCTTATTGTTCCATTTCTTATATTACTAGTGCACTATTTCCATTTTAACTCTTATGCCGATTTGCTTGCTATTGACGAAGGTACACTTCCATTGTAGCCTCAAAATGGCTGTATTTATGAATGAATTATATTCTTTAAACATTTTGTTTGTTCTCCCCCTCCGTGCATCATTTGTCAACTCCATTGAACACTTACAACCAATCTCTATCACATTATGACACAGATCGTACAGGCTTAGATTATTTCTTCAGGATGATTTTATTAATTAAGCCTTTTTTCCAACGAATCAATTGGCATGCAGTACTAGCCCTTCAAACCTACTGGGTAGGAGTCTTTAAGCTTATTCTCTTTAGGATATTTCTACAAAATTTATGTTCCAATCATATTATTTATAAGTATTGATAATTTTTTACATCAGCAAGCGCTTTCCTTCGTATTTCGTACTAGCCCATCTCCAATATTAATATTTCCCTTCACTACTATCTCAGGAAATAAATCAGAAGCTTGAGGAACAATCATCCTTATGTGCTTCGTCGATGAACCCGAATAAATTGGGGACCGCCGAAAATACTGGTGATTCTATGAATTTGTCTCAATCTTCGGGCCGAAAGGGAGGCATTTTTATGGTATTAATCATCATCGTCTTCTCAGTGCTCGTTCGTTATGTGATGCGCTCTATTCATGAATCAGTTTGATTCATTGTTTGGAGTCCTTATTCCTTCAGATTACTGATAAAAATCTGGCCGAAAAATGTTGCTACGTTTCATCCATCTGTAAAGTTATTTTTAACGCAACTGAAACATGAAATTTCTTGCTTGATCAGCTTTTAATAAAGTATAAAGATGACTTTACCTTATTCTGAAGGGTATGCCCTAAAATTTTTATTTAATTAGGTCAATTTATTATTTATTTTGTCCTTATCAGCATATTGTATTATCTCTATTTTTTC